ATGGTACTTCCCAAATAAGTGAAGCGGTCAACGTGCTCTACCACTTCACTTCCTATTTTTAAACTAGGAGTCGATGTAGTCCAGTCCTGTAACATCATCTTGCATTTGGCGGGAGCGAATCGCATGCCAAACATTCGTAGATTGCAGCTCAAGGTGTTTAGAAGACTCTGCATTTCGTCAGCGTCTTCGCCTAGAAGGACTATATCGTCTGCATATTCCAAGTCAACGAGATTATTCCCTGGTAGCAAGTCAATCCCTGAGTCGCTGAAGTCACTTAGGGTTAAGTCCATTAACACATCTATGATGAAGTTGAATAGAAATGGGGATAATGGGCATCCTTGACGGACACCACTGGTCGTCATCAGTTCAGATGACAGCTCGCCGTAAGCCCTCACCTGGCTGTATGAGTACGAGTAGAGTGCCTTAATCAGTGCAATATATTTTCTTGGAATTCCCTTTACAGCCAAGCATCTCCAGAGAACCTCTCGATCGACAGAGTCGAATGCTGCCTTTAGGTCAAGAAATATAATGACTGTTGGACGCCGGTAGGAATGCCTATGTTCTAGAATCTGTCGGAGGGTGAAGATATGATCAATACACCCTCTTCCTGGTCTAAAGCCTGCCTGGCTCTCTCGTGTTTGTGCCTCCCGAGCACCACTCAGTCTACGCATGATTATTGAGCCTAAGACTTTAGATACTATATTAGTCAAGCTAATCCCTCTGTGATTATCACAGGAAGACTTGTCTCCCTTCTTGTATATGGGGATAATCAGTGACTTACACCAACCCGATGGGACTTCTTCTGATTCCCAGACGCTGCCTAGTACCTCAGTTAATGCAGACAGTAAGCTGTCTCCACCGTACTTAAATACCTCTGGAGTCATTCCATCAGGTCCCGCTGCTTTGCCTAGTTTCAGATTGGTGACAGCTTTAGTAACCTCAGTTAGGGATGGAGGACCTGTGTCTATATCCCATTCAGGGAGGTGTTGGATGTTCGGAAGGTTGAGCGTGGCTGTGGGCCAATTAAACTGCTCCTCATAATGCTCTTTCCAACGATCCAGTCGTCTATCCTGGGAGCTAATTATAGTGCCATTTTTTTCCGAGATTGTTTCACTTATGATTTGTCTTCTCCCACCCGTTTCCCTGATGAGTCTAAATAGTTGCCTGGTGTTGCCTATCCCGAAGCTTTCTCCATCTCTTTGGCTTTTGTCACCCACCACTGTTCACGGTCCTTGCGGAGACTTTTCGTAAGTTTCCTTTTGTGCAGCTTTCGCTCCTCATTGAATTCGGAGCTCGCCGGAATAAGTCTTCTAGCATCTATCAGTTCGGATGAGGCGGTGGAGATCCAGTGGTTTTTACTCACCTTTGGGTTTACCTTATTCACAGCTTTTACAGCTGTATCTATGGCTGCCTGGATATTTTTCCAAGCTTCTTCAGGGTGAGCACAGCTGTCGAACACAGATATGTGTTTAGCTAGTTCTTCCTCAAATACGGATTTAGTTTCCTGATCGAGCTGGGGACGTGATGGTTTTACCGCCAGCTGTTTCCTACGTCCGTTCAGTCGTAAGCACACCGAGCGCGGACCAGTGCATGGTCGGTATCTACACACGTGTTCCAGAAGGAGCGACAATCTCCTACCGACCCACGCCAACGATAGCTTATTGCTATGTGGTCTATTTGTGTCCAGCGTTGGTTTGATGAAGGGGGTCTCCAAGTCAAACAGTGTCTCTCCTTGTGTTTGAAGTTAGTGCTTACAAGAAACAAATGATTATCAGAACAGAACTGTAGGAGACGGTCACCGTTGTCGGTTCGCTGGCACGGAACTCCATAGGTGCCACCGACATCCTTCTCAGATTGACACAATTTCCCTACTTGAGCGTTAAAGTCACCAGCTAGAACGACTATGTCTGAGCGTTTAGCCTTTCGCACCAAACTAGACAGCTTTTGGTAGAACTCATCCTTCGTTTCATCTGAACTGCAGTCAGTGGGGGCGTAGGCGGAGATTACGAAAAGGCATCGGCGAGTAGTGCAGTCCTTTCTCCTTACTGATCCGTTCAGACGGACAGCACACATTCGGCTATCTACCGGGATCCAGTCAAGTGATGTCTTTTCTGCCCTAGTACTCAAAGCTATCCCTACGCCAGCTAATCCTCGTGAACTAGCTGTGGCATCTCCTGACACCCTCAAGGTGAATTTTGCAGATTCAACCTGTTGGCCAGGTGGGGTTAGGTGAATAACCACACTTGGGTCTTGTATGCGTGTTTCTGAAACACAGCATACATCAATGGCTCGGGATGCCAGGGTCTTGGCTAGTGATGCTTGTTGTCCTATTTGGCAAAGTGTCCTAACATTAAAAGCTCCTATATGAAATTGGTGGCGCGGCTTTAAGAGGCTGTCGGTGGTGGTTTTTTGGCTTCCATCGTTTTTAGTGGACAGAGTGGAGAGGAAGTGGAGAGCTATCAAGTCGAGGAGTTGCATCAGTGGAAGGAAGGCAAGATGATAGAGATGAAGATGAAGACAAAGATGAGTGAGTAATAGAGAGGTTTCGTGTGCATTTCGGATTGTGAGGGCGATTGTTACTTCCCGGCTGCCCACACCGTGGAAGTTGGTTGCGTGACCGCAGAGCCCAGGGGACAACTGCTTGAGGCCGGTCACACGCGGCCTGTTTTTGTTTGTTCTTTTTGTTTGGTGTGTCTCAGTAGCATATTTATCACTCCTGCCCTGTGACACGGCAGCAGGAAGCGCGGTCGTTGTTAATCCGGGCCACGGCCGATCCGGCATGAAATTTTGTGAATTTGTATGTATCATGGTGTTGGATTGGGTAGCTGCTTTTTGTTTAACCGCTATCCAAACAACCTTTCTGGCATGGTAGGACCTCAAGAGACATAAGTCTCAGCCAGTATAGCTTGTTGGGACATTGAGGTGTTCAAGCTCGACCACCACGTCAAGGTAGCAGCTTTCGGTCGGGTTTTTAAAATATGCTGACTCATAGAAATGTGTCTCATTGGCTTAACCACTCGGCTCGCATTCGATGGACTCAGGATCTGAGTCCGGCTCCACCAAATTCAGCCTGGACAGGTCGAAAGTATCTCCAACCCTCACATATTATGCAGGACTCAGCCTGATAAAATGTCTGTCCCGGGTGATTGGATTCTAACTGAATTTAAGCAATTCATTGGACAAAATGCTTCATCCATGTAGTCAAAAGTCGTTAACCTCTTGAAAGTAATATGTATTATTGGTATAATACTCACTTACGGCTTGATACATTATTTTGTCTGAATTCCGAGTAGTATATGAAGTTTGGAATGGCCATTAGTGAGTTAAAACATGTTATTTTCGTGATTGAGATCAGTTATTTGTATGTATTTATATTGTAATGTAGGGGAGTTCCCGCTGGTACTCAGGTACCTAGCAAAACCGTTTCAAATTCCTAAGTACTATCTAACAGTCTAGTGATACATGAGTTTTTATTGCATAGAATATCACTTGAACACTGCATATATGTCTATCTGTCTGTCTGTCTGTTTTCGACATAGAACTTTGCACAAATGTGCGGAAGTTCAAGTCGCCACACTCCGTGTAGCACGCGAAGCAAGAGAAGAAAGTATAAGAAAAGCATAATAGAAACTGTGAGCAGAGGGGTGAGACAAAGTAGGAGTAATAACGAAGAACAAAACAGTTTCATTGAAGATCATAAGTCACAAGGAGTGGATGCATCTGCGCCACTGAGAACGATTTTGAGCCATGTCACCAATTGTTTCCAACCATAGATTTTTACCGTCCCGAGGACCCCAGCCTGGAAGTCTACACCTTCCTACGTGGCTTAGACCAACTGTTGTGGATTTCATTGACTGGTGCCAAGTTTTTGTTTGACCGCCGCTAGCTTTTTTCCAGCCTGACCCTATATCCGCTAACATTGCTCGTCGAGGGAGGCGATGGCTTGGCATACGTAACACATGTCCTAACCATCTCAGTCTTTGTAGCTTCACGACTTCGTCGATTGATTTCCCCTGTTTACCTAGAACTCTACGCCTAACCTCCATGTTGCTCACCTTATTATGCCACTTTATACGGGAAATAGAACGCAGGCACCTATGATCAAACACAGCTAGTCTTTTCATGTCTTCCACTCTGAGTGGCCAGGTCTCACAACCATAAAGGAGGACGGAGCGGACTGATGAGCAGTACACCCGCCCTTTGGTCGATAGTCGAACATCTCGTCTACGCCAGAGTCGGCGTAAACTGGCAAATGCGGAACGCATATATGTCTATACTCTTTTCTAAGTACTCATGCAGAATATCTGAAAGATAATAGGATCATATTCTCTCCTTGCTAGAAATGTTGCATCAGTTAATTTATAGCACTCAAGCTTTTCTTACATCCTAAAATGACAGATTCACTTTTAATGGTTTCATAAGCAGATGTCGTAAATAGGTCTGTGAATGTGTAACATTGCACCTCATACTAGACATTTCCTCCTCTTACGTAACACACTTCATTCATGTTCACCGATGCGTATTAAATAATAATATGGCAAGTTCTTGCAGACTCCTGTAATATTTTGCGCCACACCGTGAGAATATTGAAAATGTCCGAACAAGAAAAACTCGGAGGTTTAAGGAAATTTCGAACCCGGTGTTTAGTAAATGAGATTTTTATATTTTCGATGAATTATTATTAACCAATTCGTATTAAACCAGTGAAAAAACCTTGCCAAGGAGACAGGTTAACTTCAAATGTTTATGAAGGCAGATAACTAGTTAGCCTTGTTTTATGATTTGTTCATTAGCTTAAACGTTATGTTGGGTATTAATTAGTTAGGTGTGCTTGGAGATTTATTTCTTTGGGTTTTTTTCAGTGTAATCTATTTTTTCTTTTGTAGTGTTCTTCAGAATATCTGATTCTCGGTGTGTGCAGTTGCTTACTGTGATTTGGAAATCTTTCAGAATTCTCCGCTCTACTTGATCTAACTTGTTTTTGACTCAAGAATCTTGTGATGTTTACACCACTGTGTGACTCTAAACGCATACTATCAAGTGCCTGGATTATCAGTCAAAAGTTACACACAGGTAGCGTAGTCTGCAAAAATAGTAGAGTTGGTGTGGTGCGTAGAACAAGAGATTGTTCTATACCTCAGACGTATGAGCAAACCAAGAAGCCACATCAGATAGGCCTGATGAAATCATGGAATTCTTGGAATACTTCAAATTTAGATGGAGAAAAACGTTACACTGCTGAAGTCACACTTCACGATCAGTTTATTCGAAAGTTTATCAACGGGACGTTTCCTTTAATGGTTCAAAGTGAGGTAAGAATTCCCAAGCACATTTTTGTATTTACCTGATATACGCAGTTTTGTATATTTGTTTGCCTTATTAGTATTTATTCCCTTGGGTTCCGAGTGGAACAAGGAAGGCTTCAACAGCATATCTCTGCTTCATCCTGGTCTCTGTATTCATCTTTAGGCGTGACTCCACGATTATCCATAAGCTTTCATTTCCTCACATGATCCCTTCTCTGTCACACTAGATGACCCATGTAGTTGTCTCCCATCCGGGTTCCAATTAGCGTATGATGTCACTCAACAGTGTCGTCAGCTTTTGTTTAGTCCATCTCCATTTCCTTCGGCATATTTATTGGGCGACAGGTTCTTGGTTGATTCGTTGGTTCAGAATTCCCTGTTACTAATCCTTTCTGGTCGGCCGGCTGAATTTTAGTATCTAGTGAAGGTAGTTGTAGGTAAAAGTCTCCACTAGCCTGTTGGAAATGCTTCTCACGACGCTCCAGTTAATGAAATCCATAACAGTTTAAGCCACGTTGGAGGTGTAGACTACCTGACTGGTTGAAGTCCTCGGGATGGTAAGAACTAATGGTTGCAGACAGTTGGTGGTGACATGGCTCAAAGTCATCCTTGTCAATAGCACAGATGTGTGTTCACTCTTTGAGATTTGTCATATCCAATAAAACTCTATTATTCTTCCATATTAGTATTCTTTTTTCATCTCACTCTTATTTATCTTTTATTATCTTTCTTTTGCACCTTCATTTAACTCTCTTCTCTTTAACTGGCTCCACAACTGCACATGGGCTTCCATCTTACCCTCACATGATTTCCTCCATGTCACTTTTAGAGATCTAACTTCTGTTTTCCCATTTGGACTTCACTCGAAGAGCTACCTGGTGCGTGATGTCACTCAATGGCCTCCCCTCTGTTCTGCCAATAGTTGAAACGGTGCTGCCTAGTTAAGTGAAAGAGATCATCTCTTTGAAATTTCTCCTACTGAGGGTGATTGGTGCTTGTTGTTAGATTTATTTACTTTCTCGTACATAAATTAGTTGCATCATCATATTGGTTACCTCGTTTTTTTAAAAATCTTACGTTCAATTTATCAACAGTTCTTTCCCTATATTTTGTAATGCATTTGATAATTTGTATGCAACGCTTGCAGGACAACAATGTAAATGTCAAGTAAGCGAGTACATTTCAACCAAAGCAAACTGGTAAAAAACACGTATCATGATCACCAGTAATAATACCAGAAGTTAAATAAATATGAACGGTAGTCAATACTGTACATTTTAGATTTATGATAGCAATCACTTCTACCCATTTTGCTCTTGTCGAAATGGCTACAACTTATGGGACGAAGGTAGAATATGCGTCGTGATATTGATCAAACAAGTTGACGAAGAAGATTTGTAGTTCAGGTGGCTGATGATTTTGATTTGATTGAGTTGTCTGAGCTGGGCTGGTTGATTTAATTGCGAAGGTTTCATTGCCCCCCCCCCCTACTAGATAACCTCTTCAGTGCAAGCTTAAATATGAAATGAACTTATTTAAATTCGCATTGGATGTTAATAATTGCATTTCCTGATAACCATTTTCGTGATTCGGTTACTAATTTACATCTTTATTGATCATTTTTATTGACTTAGAATCTGAGCTTTCCTGTTATCTAACTTATTTTCCACTAGTTGGTAAGTTTGTTCTATAGTAAGTGGTGTCCGTTAATCGCTGATTCATCTGATTACCAGACTTCGAGAAATCCTGTGACAGCTTCAATGCTTCCTCTGTTTAAAATTCCCACTTTTTCCCAGTTAAATTAGTGTCCATATGAAAGGAAACATGTCTTTTCTGCTGACAGCTGATTCGTATTCTTGGCTTCTTAGTCGAAGGACATGTCCACTTTGACTGATGTAGTGTTCATCACACTTTTGGCAATTTATTTTCTACATAGTATTGATCCTGTCTTCTTTCTTGCTGTTGGATCCTTTGGTCTGCACAATACTAAATGAAGTGATTGTGTTGGCTTGTGCATTGTGTCTATTTCATCAAATGGTTCTAGTATTCTGGCGATTATTTCAGAGATATTTTTTATAAACAGCAGAATGAATTTTCTTGTGGTGTTTTGATGACGGTTTCTTGTTGGTATTTGGGTTTAAGTATAAACATGTTTTGATGAAATCGTATAAATATTCATTCTTGAAGACAGTCAGTAGATATTGCTCTTCTGTTCTCTTCAGTACTCGAGTGCACTACAGTGTATCTGAACTCTTTTAGACAATGTTTGCACACAGTTTGTTTTGTGAGTCACTGGATTATCGTTGTTTTAGTTGAGTATTTGATCTCTCTGTGTATATGTGTGTGTGTTGATTTTCCGCATACTTGTGTTTCCGAATTTCCTGTATTAGTTCTCCTGATTGGGACATCTAAGAATGGAATTTACTTGTTGTGATTCTTCATCACTTATGAATTTAATGTCTTCAAATAGATATGTTGTTGATTAATATGTGAGTGTATTCCGAATCATTCTTTTTAATTATCACGAATGTATCATCAATATAAGGTACCCAGATTTTTGGTTTGATTGTGCGTGGTAAAGCTATTAATTCTAATCTTTGCATAACGGCTTCATCTATTAATCCTGATGTAGTCGATCCCATTAGTTTGATTGGACACTAGTAACTAGTGTGATGTGTCTAGTCCTTTGTTTTGGTGTAGACTGAATTCTATCAGTCAGGTTTGCAATGTGGCCACCATTCTAGGTAGCGCGCCATCACGGTTCACTGTGAATTGTAGATATTAGATGGTTGGCGGCACTCGTCAAGATGCTGACTGCTGAGTGCTGACTAGCACGAAACCTAGGTCAGGCTGGGCTTCCTGTCGATTGCCTCTAACCGTCCAAGATCCCACTGGTGTTCATTTGATCTGTCCTTATATCTGTTGTCTAGAAAGATGAAATGAAAACTTCGCAGTTAAATCAACCAACTCAGAGAACACAATCGAATCAAGGAGAAGTTAACGACTGAACTGTTAGCTATTCTCTCTGAGTGATTACTAGATGTATATTCTCCTACAACTATTTATTTGAAAGTTTTACCTTTTTCCTACTTAATGTAACCAATTTTTTTAAAACAATTAATTTTATTACAGGTTATTATTAAACGACAATGGAATGTGATACGTGTAGCTTTCCTGCTTCATCCACGATTGACACCAGGCGAAATTAACTTTCTTATTGGTTATACAGAAGAAATGCTTTCCCTTATACTTCGATGTATTGTTAAATTAGAAATCCAGTTGATCCCATCTAAGAAGGATGTAATATTTCGTTATGTTTAATATATATATATATATATATATATATATATATACATATATATATATATATACTGGAGAGAATCAATCGCCTTCATTTAGCTTCTTTGTATATTTGTATAGAATATCTTAGACAGAAATAAACACAAAATATGTGTACAGTGTATCAATAGATAAAGTGTTTTTTCACCTGTATGCTTGAGTCGTTTTAGAGGGTTTCAAATCAATCTTGTTTCATAGAGGCTACCATTTAAATTCAGAGGGTTTACATTAGTTTTATTTGGTTCATTTCTCAATGATTTTAGCACAGCGTAATTATAACTGTGTGTGTTTGTGTGATAAGATGTGAGTACTAAGATTGTTTTTTATTCTGATAAGTAAAGTGTGAGCATATCTCCAATGAAGGGGTGTTTCCATAATTGATGGCATATTGTCAAGATTCACTTTGTTTGTAACACCGGACGAGTTTACAGGTAGGAGAACTTCACTGTGTTGCGGATAACTGTTACACGTTGAGTTTTTGAAAAGCTAGTCAACATAATGTTCCAATCATTCAGGCAGTTACGTTGACTTTTGTTCTGTCAATAATTGTGTTAACCAACGGACTTCCTTATGCAAACACTGTTCATATTGTCTACATACTCAAATGATTTGACCTATTTTAATTCACACGGAACGTTTTACAAAAATGTACTTTTTCACACGAAGAATACTTAGATAAGGAATAATGAAGATTTTCAGAATGGTGTACGAATTGACTAAAAGTCTTCGCAACTGCTGCAAATAGCGGCGAGCAACGAATGCAAAGGTAATGGGAAAGGTATCAGCACTAGGTAAAATATCCTTCATATATCTAAGGTCATCAGGGTTACGTGTTCTAAAAAAAAACTCGTGGTAGTAGGTGAGGTGATCATCGAGATGGAGTGATGTCTGCAACGTTGGGTTGAACATTTTGAGAACCACTCAACTAGACTATAGCTGACCTGAATGGTGTTTGTCCTCCAATTTTAGCTGAGGTTGATAAAGCTGAAATGAGGCGAAGCAGTATGACCTGGTGGCACTATTTCAAAGGTATTTAACTTTGGCTGTGGTGACTTTACAGCTAATTTTGCTAAAACAGTAGTTAGTGCATGGGGTGGTTCTGGGGAAGTCTCATTAAATAACAAATCTTCCTGTCCTGTGATAATCAAGATTGTGTAAGATTGTAGGTTCCATGGTCTTTTGAAAACAAAGTTGTTCTTGAGAATGACAAACACGAGAGAACCAGGTGAATTTCAGGTACGGACTAGAGTATATTAGTTGTATCTTCACTCTTCGACGGGTAGCAGGATATAACGCCACCCGTGTTTCCCGACCTGAAACACACAGTTCACTCCGTAGTTTGAGAGGTGTCTGTAACAATGTCTGAATATAAAGGGAGTGTCGAGAAATTATGTTCTACTGATTATGACACACTACTTGGACTCATTTTGCCGCGTAATTGCCTATATGATGTGGGGGAAACCACTAATATCTTTCCGGGATACCGAATTTTGCCGATTTTATTGTACGTATACTGGTGGAAGTGACCCTGGACAATATCAACGTCGTAAGGATTGAATTATTCACAGTGTTGTTGACATTTACCATTCAGATAACTGCTCTTTTAGGTGAAACCTGTGAACACCTTGAGCAGAAATCTTGATATTTTCGACAGGTGATTCTCATCTGTCACATGTAAGATAATGGTACAGGAATTTTCCGCACACATTCTTAGTTTAACGGTAAGGAGTGAAACAATTGCATCATTCCTAGCCGGCTGATTGCTGACCATATCTCAGCACAGATACAAAAGGTTCTCGTGTGACATATACCAACTTACTTCATCACTGACGTAGACGTGGTATCCAACTCTCGATTAAAGGACTGTACTGCACAGCCGTTCTCTATGTTCTTCCTTAATAGACATAACCATTGGAAAAGGAAGATATGAAATGAATAACCGTTTAGGTAATCACCGGAAATCAATCTATGCGATTTTGATGCGGTATTGATTGAGATGGCTGGGAGTTGTGTTACGCGTGCTCAGTCATCGGCTTTCTCGATAAGCAATGCTAGCCAGCAAAGGAATTTTTACAAATAAATCCAAGGGTATCTCTTTTGCCTTTCATCGTTTGTATCAGAGGAAAATTGACCTGTTGCTTGAATAGCATTGTTCAAGTAAGACGTCGCACAAGAAATGCAAACGTTAGACGGGAAACAGGTAGGTCACCTCGGTATTTTGTAAATCCTCTCTAACTGACTTAGATGGAATATAAGTCATGCCTTTCGAGTCGGATGAAAGATGTAGACGTCGTGATTCGAGTCTTCAGGGCAGTGGAAAGTGATGGTTGTAGATTTTACGTGATCCGACTCACAACTTTTTGTGGTGTCAATAAATTCAACCTCACTTAATCTGTAGTGCGGTATGATGGAGTTTATCGTACCTACCGCTTTGTCTTCTTTCACGTAATCTGTCTTGTGAGTTGATGTGGGATCCCGGAACTTAAGCCATTGTACAGCAATGATAGTGGGACACATCAACTAGTTGTCATCATGACTGGAAATTGCGAAAAAAGGGGTTAGTGTAGCATGTGATACTGACAAGGTTTATCAGTAGTACATAGACGCGCATTCATCTGGAGTAATCAGAATCGAAAACAACATTCAAGTTAATGGTTAGAGAAGTAGAAGTGTTTATCCCTCAAATCAGCAAATACTCTCGTTGGAAGATGTTCGTCTCAAAGTTTAACATTCAGGAGATCAACAACCAGTCAGAACAGTTTGTTATCCGCTGACCTAGCCGACCTTGAATGGGGCTAAATATGCATAAATATGGTGTGTTTTTCCTCAATAAAAAAGTCCGTTATTAAGTCTAATATTTTCTCCCGTTACATTAGAATAAACTGGGAAATTGTTGGAATGGTATGCACACAGCCACAAAATATCGCTAATTTTTAAAGGAGTTTAAAGGCGAGTGTGTGTGTTGTACATAAATACTTGTCTTAATACAAGTTAACTTATCAAGTTATCAGAAACCCTAACTTTTTCTCAACAAGCTATCAATGTAAGATTGAAAGTTTAGTTTCAGGATTTCGTCACGAACTGACATCAGTTGGAGAACGATTGGAAAACCTGAAGGGAGTACTGGACAGCTGTTCTGTCCTCGTTTGGGACTCTTCGACAGTACGCACCTACTGAAGTTCGAAATCAGGACCGTCTGATAACAAGGCTAGCTCGTAGACTATTAAGCCACTGGGACCCGATCCAGTTGCCTATGAATCCCAACTACCAATTCATGACCTAGCCCGATCACTAGACAATGTCATCCGTGGCGAGTATTTGCCTTCACACCCGACCCGACCTGCTGCACCCTACTGGTCACGACTTTCCACTAGAATCCAGGTAACTACCTACCTGAATAGTACCAGTCACTAGTGAGCATCAGACTGATATTCAGTTTAATTCTTCGATAAAGGGACTGGCTACTGGTTTTAATGTAGTTTGTCGTATACATGAGTTCGTGTGTCTATGTGTGTGTGTGTGTGCACTGCCTAAGAATCCTAAGCTGCAATAAAACAAATTTAGAAGATGATGGTTACGCAAGTGCTTACCCTTGTAACGACAGAAGACAAGGGCCAGGCAACAGATCGTTTATTGAGAAAGTCAACAGATATTCATGTATTTTTATGTACATTATTATTATTTCTCGTGCTCACTCGAGAACATCTCCCAACATGGTTAAGTGAAGGTGTAGTGAAAACCATTAACAGCTTGATATTGGACCATCCAATGCAAACCGGCCGGCCACAAAGCCAGCCAGCGTCGAAGAATCCTTCTCTATCATCATCTTCCGGGTGCCTAATAAATTGCCGAAATCATCATCGAAGCATCGCATGCTCCAAACACCAGAGGCTATTTCACTTCACCTCAAACAACCGCTGCTCTGTGTTCAAAAGAAGCAAGTCCAGCCAGCCACTACTACTGCCTTGGCCGGCCTTCAATAGAGACTATAAATTCATGAATTTGTAATATTATCTTTCCTAATTTGTCTGTCTGACATTCAGTTTATTGTTATGTTGATGCTATTGAGCTGTAATCTATGAATAATATTATTGATTCGATGTTATTTAAACAGCAACATCAATGTTGTTCATAACACTAATTCATTCATTCACTATTATGGATGTATATAACTGTAGAGCCTGACGATGAAGGGGTTATCGAAAAGAGTACTCTTTGTTCAGTATCCATAATTTTGAAAATTTTAATGGGTATTTTTAATCAGAAAGAATAGTTTACGTGAAAATACATTAGGTAATTATGAAATATGAAAGTAGAGAACATTCGAAAATCAGAAAAGTAAATTAAAACACTGTCTGAATACACCTCCTTCTATCTATCTATCTTTCTTCCCTTCTCACTTATCAACTGGATAAAAAGTGTTCAAAAAATTCTCCAATTGTTCACATGCATACTCATTATTCTGAGCTTTATAAACAGCCTGTAATATTTTCAATATATCAATTTGTTGTTCATTTCCTAGTCGGCTGTATAAATCATAAACAGTTGCTTGTAATAGAGCTTTATCAGTAGTATTAGTATATTGTCGTCTTTCAAATAAATCAATTATGCTTAGCTGTGTTGCTTCTCTATCTAAAGCTTCTTTCAGTATATACCTAATCTGTTGATAGGCCGTATCGATTTGTCCTAATTTTAAATAAGCTTTACCAAGAAGTATATTCAACCTGACCATAATTATTGTATTACGCTGTTCAGGTTCATATTCATTCCTCAGGTATTTTAAACAGTCTTTACTTAATTCTATTGTCTCAGTGTATTTCTGATTGTGCAACAAAATGTCGGCTAAATCAATTTCATATTGCATTACCTCCTCAGAATGCTTATCCTGTGTGATGGATTTTTTAATCAGAATAGCACGTTTCAAATGTTTCTCTGCTGTTTTATAATTACCCAGCTGAACATATTCATGTGTCAGTTGTCGTAAAATATCCACTAGACATGTGTGCTCTTTCCCAACTTTCATTTCAAATATTTTCAATGCATCCTCTATGCTTGTTATAGCTTCTAGGTGTCTTTTCTGTTGACTCAACACAACACCAAGTAGTAGATTGATAACACCAAAGTCGATTGGTGTTAGCTCACTCGCTTTTGATCGATCCTGTAACAATTGTGTACACATAGCTATAGCGATATCTAAACGTCCTTCGTTAATATATTTAATAGTCAGACGATATAGTGCCTTCATTTTCGCTGAAATGATCTTTTTAATGAAATCATCGTCGAATAGACCATTAGGCTTAGATAAATTTGACTCTGTAAGACATTTGTATTGATCCCCAGTGTTAGTATTGTGAGCACTGTTGTTATCAGCATTTTTACGCATTTTATATTTATAATGTTGGATAATACGTTGAGCTTCGTACTCTTTAATACTTTCATTCAATTTATTTAATTTATTATTTAATATATTGTATTCATTAGATAACCAAAGATTTTCTTCAATCAGACGTTTATACTGTAGGCTTAAACGTGTCTGTTCACATTCATACTTTTCTGTATACCTGATTATTTCATACATTAAATCAATATTACTATGGATGCATACATCTAATTGATTTTTAATTAAACTATTCAATTGAAAATTATCCCATGTGTTTAATTTATTTTGTATTGTATTAATATTAGATAGTTGATTTAAAAACTCCTTATGATAATAGTTATTTTTATGATTTAACGATGTTAATTTTAAGTGTAAATTTTTTAATTGTATTAAATATTCTTCACTTGTTGTTATATTGATACCATTGAGCTTATCACCTTGACATGAAGAGGGATTTATGAATAATATGCTGGAATTTTGAGTAGGTGAAGATAAAGTAGAAGTCAGAGGAGATGTTATTGAATTGATTGTATCACTTTCATTAGCGTTGGCATTACAATGATTGATATGGTTATCGTCACTAGTAGTTGCATTATCAATGCAATTATTGCATGTATCATTGGTAAGTATTGTAGCACTAATGTTATTATTAGCAGTATGAGTTTCTTCAGTTGGTTTAGTCATATTGTCTGAGTGTGGAAGTGCATAATATTTAATTCGAATGTATATTCAATGTAGTATCGATCGAAAAATCAATTAAATATATAAATATCTCACTAATGGGAGGAATTTGAAGGAAGCCGTTTATTTTCACTTACTTATCTAGACAGGCATGGATAAGGCTGTCACAGTTAGTTAAGATTAGAAAAGTTAAACGCACCTTCATTAATCTAAATTCAGTTTGGAAGTCTACTACAATGAGCATAAAGAACAAGAGGCCAATTTAAACTTTAAGCACCATTATTTACCAATCAGCGAATAACCTTGAATCGTCCAATTAATTTCATCCACGTGAATTGAAGGTTGTATTTCGTTTGATTCGAGTCAAATGCCTGCTCTAACGTAGTTACGCTTGCAGTTTCAGGAGAATAAGGCTTTCCAGTATGTGTTGGATGTGAGGTTGATTAGGAATGAGAGAATTTGTTCATGTGGAGGTGTCATGAGTATAAAAAGCTTCAGCAGGTCGATTGATGGATATTTGCATCGTTGTGCAATTCGCTTGTGACTGGTTAGTGTGAGGGAGGGTAAGCTGATGATTCCGATACTTCGTAGGAATAGATTTGGCCAAGTCCCATGTTTCCTTAACCCAGATTTTGTATATTTGTTATTACTGGGTTTTAAAGCAGCTTGTGAGAGTTTCAATTGCTGTAACTGGAAATAGTCTCGTATGAACATCACTGTAGAAACATCGCGTCATGGAAAACGGAGAGAATTACTTCGGTATTGGGAGGAGAAGGTGTCGTTTTACACGTGGACGAAACTGCGTAATTGAAGAAAAAATAAAACCGTGGTCGTCAGCGAGAAACCAATGTTTGGGTGATTGGCTTATATGACACCTCCCCACAGAAAGGATTCATTGTGCGAATAAAAGACAGAAAGTCAACTATCTTAGTACCTATTATCACTCCACTGGTGAAACAGGGATCTATAATACCAACCGATGAGTGGAGAAGTTATAACTTCCTGTCATTCCTTGGATATATTCATCACAGAGTGAACCATTCGAATGAATTTGTGGATCACATTACAGGGACACACCCCAATTCTATAGAAAGCTTTTGGGGAAGATCAAAAAACAGGATTAGAGCCATAAATGGATCTCAAAAGGATGTAATTTATAGTCATTTGGATGAATATATGTACAGAATGTGGTTTAACTTCTCAACTGACACTTCTATGCCAAATCGGGAGATGTTATTTTTACATGCAACGGTTTTCTACATTTTTTTTCATAAATATATGTTTCCCATAATCAAAAATGCTTCTTTCATGAGATTGGTTTGTTTAAGTTCGTTCGCTGATTGATAGTTAGTGGGGTACTTAAAGTTTAACTTTGCCGAACAAGATTCATATTTTCAACAATAATAGAAGTCCGTGAGTGCTTATGTAGAGTTCAGGCACTTATACGTTACGAGAAGCATTATCAACAATCTTATATAAACTTTCATTAATAGCTGCCTTTGCCTCATATTGAAGATGCAATGGGCAGGTAGGATTAGCAACAAGGAACTCTGACAGGCAACGAACCAACCAAGATCCTGTCGTCCAAACCATATACAGATTCTCAAGTGAAAGCTGAGCGGGCAACAACGAGTTGAGTGTTGCTCTGAGGGTGGCGTAAAGGAGATCATAAGGACGACATTTCCGCAGACAGATAAAGAGGACTCCCGGGGACAAGACGACGTGAAAATATGCTGCCGAAGCTCCATATTCCACTTAGAACCCACGGCGAAAAATAATATATAATATTCTATCTATTTATAATACTTTTTTCAGTAGGGATACTATTAAATTACTGAGTGAATAAATAATATGATTATTTGTGTAAAGTGGTTGAAAGCCGACCATAGGAAACTATTTGGATATTGGTTTCGTGCTTGTTGGTGACACTTTTCATCAGAATGTATCTGAGACTGATTCTCTACTCAGGAATTCAAATTTTCATAATTCAGTGTTACATTCGGAGAAGTTACCACTGAGCTGTTCAGACTCACGATTAACCTCCTGTACGATTATAAAAGATGTTTTTCGGCGGCTAGTTTATGTTCATGGATGCGAAGATGAAGGAGACGTCAACACTCTGGCTGATTGAAGGGGTTTTGTTGGTTTGTTTGCGACAGCCACTCCCTCATATCACTGCATACAGTCAACCACGAGGACAATTCAATTGGGACAACGTTCAAACACTAGATAGAGGAAACACCAAGAAGCTAGAGAATTTTAGAAACCTGGTATTCCAGTGAATCGGCAATCAATTAACAGGAACACTGACATAGACACAATTTACCAGTCGATAAGAAGGAAATCTCACACACGAAGAGTCAAACTTCAGGTCAAGGAAACAGTCAATACCAATAGAGGTAGTCTAGATGGTGTGAAAACGCACAAAAACAACCAATCAGTTTCAAGGTGACCCACCAGGAGAGATGACTAATAATCTCGTGGAGAAATCTAAAATCTCACTTCAACGAATTGAAGTATGCACTGAAGATGTTGCCTAGTAGGTAGCGCAATGAAAGCTTCGCAAATAAACCATTCAGCTCAGAGAACACAAATGCATCAACATATGTAACAGGAGAATATAAAACACTTGGTAAAGGACCTTCACTAATTAGTGAAAAACACATCATATTTATACATTCTTAACCACATTGAAGTTCAGCTAGGTTAGAAGAGAATAAATTGTTCTGATTGGTTGGCCATAGGCCCAAGGTTAAACAGGTTGTCCAATTAGGTTATTTCATGTCCACGAAGTGCAAATTAACTCCAGATTTCAGAATAAACTGACTTCTAAGCCTGTAGCAATTGACTTACAATGTTTACTTCAATTTTGGCCACTTCCTATCACAATCTACATGACACTACGAACAAGAATGAACAACATGTTGGCCTGTGACTCAGGAGATTTATTTATTTATTTAATAGAAATTAAGCAAAAATATACAAATTTTGTGACTTTCACAAAGTTGAAATTATAAAAGATGTTTCACATTCACTATTCTCTAAATACAAGTTTAACAATAAATAAGGAGTGAATTAAGCAGTTGGTGAATACTGTTAACATTATACAATTATTACAAAGAGTTAAGGAATACACAGTTTAAACATTTGATAATTTAAAATTTAGTCATTCCTAGCTCATGTCATCACACACACAGATAGATAAATGACAGGTTTATCGTTCAAGAGCCTGTCAAAATGTAATACTTCCTCAGGTGGGGAATTTTGTTTTCGGACCAGTGACACATGTATCATGATAGAAAAGAGACTAAAGAATCAAAGGCATTTCTTTTTACAGTCTACTAAATACGGAATTAAAATTGACTAAATTGTTTGGGTTTGAAAAGTTGGCTAAACAGCCTCGATTGCATCATCATCGTCAGCAATGCTAATAGTATCGTGACAGTAATAAAACCATAAGGGAGATAAGTATAACACATTCTTATACTAGAATAGAAATGGTTACGTTTTTTGAGTTTAATTTTTGACAATGCATGCACTTGATTTAACCTTCAGACTTATTATTATGTGAATTTGTATTGTACAACACATTGGTATTAGAGACTGATGCCTTACTGTTAGATACAAGTGAAGCGTTGTCATTCTCTGTCTTCGTCATTGTCGTCGACTTATTATTGTCTCTGGATAAAATCTCCGTCGAATTCTCTTCTATTGCTTTCATGCCTTCTTCACTATTTGTACTGTGTGTTGTTGGAGCGGTGTGTTGTGAACTTGAAAGCTTCACTGTTGCAAATGATGCCAGCATACTTGGATTCACTGATGTATCTGATTGTATTTGACCTGAATACGTGTATATGTAACTGGAAGTGGACGGACAGGTTATGGATCCTGTGGCTTTATTGTCACCTGGTTTATTGCTATTGTTATTATTATTCCCCGATGGCTGAAGAGAAATATAATGATTTTGAGCATTTGGATCTGTAGGTAGGTTTACAAGATTTGAGAAACTAGAATTTATTGGCTGTGACATATTGTTTTGTTTGATGCTTTGAATATGCGTCAGATGACCATGCATACCTGGAGCATCCAGCATACTGCCATTTGGACTATGACCTAGTGATCCTGCAGCTACATCATCGTATACAACATGTGGATGTTGAACTCGAATGATATACTGGGGGTGGTAAGAATGTATATCACCTTGTCCAATATAACGTACAGCAGTTTGTGGAGAATAACCATAGTTATTTACTGCTACCCTACGACTAAGATTCGGTGACGGTGTATTCAACGATGGTGCACGAATATATGTTGGTGTTAAATTAACAAATTTATTATTATTATTATCTTCATCAATCATTGTAGTGAAGGCAGTCAGGTTGTGATTTTCTGGATCGATAGGTTGTGGATGGTGGATAAGTCCACCACTGTGTGGTTGTGGTGTATTCACATTTCTAAGATTTGGCATACCATGTTTTCTAAAGGTACCTGGCAGAGAATTTGTAGGTATATAGCCTGGACACAGATTCTCCTTATACGATGAACCATTATTATAAAGTAATGGTACTTTTTGTAGAGCAGATAAACTGTAGGAGGAATTGAATCCTGCAGGATCTGAACCATTCATTCGGACATGATGATTCATTTGTGGTGTCATATTGGTACGAGGTAGAATCGGTGTGGTCATTATCATAGAACCTTTTCTCATTTCCTCTGGTAAGCATAGACAAGCAGCTAGGCAGTTCGTCTTGCTTGATCCTTCATTGGAAGCATCTGAGTTGTAAAAAACAGAAAACAAACAAAATGACGTAAGAATTATTGATGTGAACTTCATTTGAATTAGTTAATATTTACAAATCAGCGCTTTGCACATAGTAAATATCCTTGAGAATGAAACTAAAGTATAAAGACGCATTTCTGTCTCAGACTGACAGTTATCGAGTAAAATTCAAAAGTTTCAGGAGCTAGAGACCGACTGATTGAGTTTTAGCATAGAACTTTACACGGAAGTTCAGTAGTTCAAATCGCCACATTTTTCATAGCATACAAAGGTAGAAGAAAGATGTTCAAAAGAACTTTAATGAGTATTAAGGTGAGAAAGAAAGAACAGTAACTTGGGAAAAACATGGGGGCATAATGGAGATGGCGGATTAGAAAGAGTGAATGCACCTGCACCATTGAGAAAGATTTTGAGCCATACGACCAAGAGTTTTCAGACTTTGGTTCTAGACATGCTGAGGACCGCAGCCAGACAGTCTACACCTCCGTACTTCCTTCAAAACAACTGTCAGGCTTTGCTTTTACCCACCCCCTCTATAGCTCTTTTCAAACCCAGCCGTATGTCAGCTAACACTGCTCGAGGAGAAAGAAAGTGGCTCAGCATTTGTCCTAGCTGTCTCAATCGATGCAGCTTCACAACCTCATCGATTGGCTTTCTTTCCTTACCTAACACTGGACGCCTAACCTCAATATTACTCACCCTATTATGTCATCTAACACAGGAGATAGAACGTATACAGGTACAACCGAAGACAACTAGCCTTTTCATATGTTAAACTTTCAATGGCCGTGTCTCACAGTTATAAAGGAGGTTGGAACGAACTGGTGTGCAGTACACAAGTCCCTTGATCGATAGGCGGATATCATGTCTACGCCAGAGATGGCATAAGTTGAAGTATGCCAAACGACCCTTCTGTATCCGTGAGGAGATTTTATCAGCAATCAGCTCACTAATATGGCTGATGCAATTTCCCAAATAGGTGAGGTGTTCAACACGTTTTACCACTTCTCGGTCTATCTTAAAGTTAGGAGTCAATATAGTCCAGTCCTGTAGCATCATCTTACACTTGACAGAAACGAATCTCATGCCGAACACTAGAAGATTTTTTCCCAACGTGTTTAGAAGACTGCATTTTGTCAGGGTCTTCCTCTAGGAGGACAATGTCATCTGCATACTCGAAGTCCACAAAACTGTTCCCTGGTTACAAGTCAATCCCTAAGTCGCTAGAATCAATTAGAGTCAGTTCCATTAGTACACATACGATGAAATCATACAGAGCTGCTTGAGTTCGAGTACCTCGATTAGTGCAATGTACTTTCTCAACACTCCTGTCAAGGCTAAGAAGATTAAGAAAGTCACTTACATATATGGTTCTTTGAAATTATTAACGGATTTAAGACTACATTACACAAATTCTGTTCTGACTGTGTTGAAAATAATAAGCAGATACATGTGTGGAAGAAAGAATGTTAACATGGGAAAAACATGACGTTTTAATGGATATGGGAGATTAAATAGAGTGAATGCATCTGCGCTGTCAGTGGGAATGACTGCGAGCCATTTCTCCAAGTGTCTCCATCCACTGGTTCTTAGAATGCCGAGTACTCCAACCAGACAGTCTACACCTCCCTGTGTGGCTGAAATCAGCTGTCAGAGATTTCATGGACTGATGCCAAGTCTTGATTTGACCAACTCCAACTCTTTTCCAATCCGATCCTGTGTCAGATAACAGTGCCAGTCGAAGAAGGCGATGGCAAGGAATGCCTAGTCATTTCGATCGACTTAGCTTCACAACCGCATCGATTGACTTTTCATTCTTACTTAACACTCGACGCCTAACCTCAAGATTACTCAACCTATTATCACTTAACACCGGAAATAGAACAGAGACACCTGTGATCGTAGACAGCTAGACTTTTCATATCTTCCACTTCTAATGGCCATATCTCACAGCGGTAAAGAAGGACGGAGTGAACAGATGCTCATTACGCACTTCCTTTGATTGATAGTTGAATATCACGTCTACACCGGAGATGGAGTAAGGTGGAGAATAGAACACCAACCTTTTGTATTTGTGTTGGAAATTCGTCAGAAATCAGTTCATTGTGACCGATTCGAATTCTTAAATAGATGAAGTGGTCAACACGCTCTATCAATTCACTCCCTATCTTTAGGCTAGGAGTCAGTGCATTATTATACTACGCTTGACAGCGGCAAATCTCACGCCGAATATTCAAAGATTTCTATTCAAAGTGTTCGGAAGACTCTGCATTTTATGGGCGTCTCCATCTAGGAGGACAATATCACTGGCATACTTTAAGTCCATAAGACTTCCATAGTAACGAATCAATTCCTAAGTCAGTAAATTCAGTTAGAGTTGTTTACATTAGTACACATATGGTGGGATCATACACAAATGGAGATAGTGTGCTTCTCTGACAGACATCACTAGTTGTCATTACTTCAGATGACAACCCTTCATAAGCTCTTACACACAGCTGCATGCATTCAAGTACAGCACCTTGATCAATACGATATACTTTCTTGGTACTTCTGTCACAGCCATGAAGATATAGACAATCACTTACATGTATGGTTCTTTGAAACTAACAACGAACCTAAGACTATATTACAGAGATTCGTTCCTGACGGTGCTGAAAAACATACATCTTTGTCAAAACGTCTTCTACTTAATACTTCATTGATGAGGAGCGAAATAACCTAATTAATGAGACAAATTCATATCTTTTGTATTACTTAAATGCAACACAATACAGATGAGATTTAGGACATATAATTGATATATTGTAATACTCCATCATATATTGCCAAATACAATTTATACGATGTGAACATACGCCTTCATGTACCCTGTAGAACAACGATCATTGGCTGATTTGAGTTCATCTGTTTAAGAGGGAAGGGCTGTTTTATCTGAGTTACATGATAGGAGGATAATGTAGATAATAAGAAAGAGTTTAATTGAAAATGTCAATTTCTGTAACTACTGGTGATATATAGACCTAATTTTCTACTTGTCATTTTCACATGTCTGTTTGTAGTTTGTTTTTACGAGTTTGACCATGTATTGATTGATATCAGTTAGAGAACCATTGAAAACCAGTAGGGAGTACTGGACAGTTAGCTGTTTCATCCTAGTTTGGGAATCATCTGCAGCACGAACCTACTGAAATTCGAACCTAGTAGCTGAATAGTATACGAGCTTGCCTTGTAACCCGAAAGGTCATGGGTTCTAACACTACTCTGTGGATGTGTACTGACGATGATTCTGAAACTAGGATGAAACAGCTGGCTGTCCAGTACTCCAGTGCTGGTTTTCATTGGTTCTCTAACTGATATCTATCCCTTGTCAAACTTGTGAAAACAAATCGTTATTTTGCCATCACTGTCTGTAAACCTGACGATATTAAGAAGAAGTGAAAATTAACAGTTTAAAACCATTCAAACTATGACTATACTATTCAATAGATTGTCATTTTGTAACGACTAATTTGTACACAAGTTTTCTATAAATTTAGATAAAAATACGAATAAAAGCTTAGATTTAAACTGAAAATTATAAGCTAACCTCTACTTACTTACCAATATATGAGCGTAAAAGTAAACATCGTATACAGAATGCAAGATTGATAAGGATGGATAAAGCGAGAACTGCCAATATGGTGAACAGTATTTCTGGTTTTCTAATTTGAGCCACTTAAATCAAGGAAAACAAAGAACAGTAAAATCAAAAGGTTTCAGTAAATTCATGCCAATGGTAGTGTTGTTTTGATAGGCCATTTCAGGAAGGTTTGAATTCACATTGAAGTAACCACTAAACATGTTGTCTAAAGGGATAATGAAAACTTCGATAGTGAATTGCCCACTTCAGAGGATGTAGTCACATCAAAAACGCCCACCTCAGCTGCAGATCTTCTTCATCACTTCAGGAGCCTTGAGTGAACTGGTTGTTAAGCTCATCAACTCTGTTCACTGAGACTTTTACGAAATTCTAGATGGTAATTGTCTTCTCTAGGATTTGAACATTTTTTAACTTATATAATTGCTGAAAATAATAAGGTTTCCCAATAGCTAGTATTCCTTTGCATACCGAGTTAGAGTTTCACTAGCAGTGGTGATTTATTTATAGCGTGGGGCTACGCGTTTCACGCCCAAACTCTCCTATATTTGTTGAACTTACGACCGGCTAGTAGAGATGTCTTCCAGCCGGGAATCGAACTCTGGACCACATGCATAGTTGGCGAGCATCCTATCGCTGAGCCACCGACGCTTACACCGGCCTCGGTAGAGCTAAATACAATACTGCGGCTGCATCCTATTGTATATTCTTCAACCTGCTCTGTTATTAAATTTTTTGGTTGTTGAATTTCACCAGAAATTTATTTTGGTATTTTAATCTAACTTTACTAATTGTTAATTTCAGTGAATAAAATAAAACCTGTCTAATACTCTCTTACAACCTTCATAGTATTTTGAGGATGATATTAGATTATGTTTCATATATTACCATCAAATAAATGTTCCTTCATACAGTAAATTTTTTGATGAAATTTTAGTATAATACTGAATTATTTACTAATGATGTCTCAGGTACAATTTATTCATATCAAGGGATTAACATAACTTCCAAACCTCGTGTATATTATGACTGCATTGCTTCTTATCCTATGACTTGATTAATAATAATATTCTCCATATCTCTAGTAGTGGTGTTAAGCCATTGTATTGCACATATCTGGTGTAAGTTAGATGAATAAGGAATGAGTAATCAACTTCCACCTTCCCCACCGACCTACATTCCTTTTTAGAACTGTAACCCTATTCCACCTCATTGTGTGACTGTGTGTTGTTAATGATGAATGCATTGCAACTGATGAGTTAATTTTCTAAATTACGCATCTTCTTGGAGTCAGTCATCCTTATGATCACAAATAATAAAAGTGTCATCCATACATCTCTTATACAAATGCAAGCTCAAGATAGTTTCTTTCAATTAACCATTTTTAAAGCTGGGCATGAGGATATCCGCTAGGAGAGATCCTAAAGGAGACAACAACACGGTAACTCCATCCCTATGCTTTTCACTATCGAAGAGGGGTCGACTTAACGTAAATGCTTATGTTCAAATAATCTGATTACCCCCAGTCTATTGATATGACCTATGTATTTAGTTGACCTCATAGTCATTCCAAGGCATACCGTGGATTAAATGATTTACTTTAATTGGTTCAGTAGGGTACTTTAACCTAAAGAGCTTGTCCCTGAGTGAGCTTTATAGGTTTAAACGCAACCCTGATTCCTGCTTTATTAAGAATCTTAGGCAGGATCTCATATGTCCCCTTCTTATATGATAAAACTGTAGATGCCTTAAATCCTTTCTTATTTATATTATGTTATGTTATTAGTTTCACTATTTTTATTTTGACCTTTACTGGTCTTCCTAATGAATTTTATAGGATATTTATTCAACACCAACGCTTCTACTATCTGTTTCATTTCATCATTCAGGTTTCCTGATGTAGTGTTTAGAGTTTTTGCTCAGTTTGTCATACACCTAGCTAAGCCTGCCTTTACAGATAATGAGTGAGATGAATTAAAGTTTAAATATCTATTAGAGTGAGTTGGCTTTTTCATAAAAGCTAATGAATAGTTCACTTTCTCCTGTTGGTTTTATTTTACAATCTAACATAGCTGATTCTCCTTGTTCCGAGTTAAAGGTAAATTTTTATTCCCTTTAATATTGAGTTATATGTATGAAGAGACCAGGGGTACATTCTGTTTTTAACAGTGTAACACTGTCATTCACATATCTTCACTATATCTTTAGAGTAGGACTAAATATATTAGAAGCCATATTTGCTCAAGTATCCATAAAGATATCTGGAACGGTTGGGGTAGTGGTGACGCCACTGCTACCCCATTTGTTTTTCCAAGTATTGGCCTTTGTAGAGATTTAGTTTGATTGATTGGAGGATTTCATCATGAGCTGATATCAGTTAGAGAACCACTGGAAAACCTTCAGGGAGTACTAGACAGTTGTTTCACCCTAGATTGAGACTTTGCAGCAGCTGTGGTCAGTAGGGTGCAGCAGGTTGAAGGTGAGGCAGTAATTCATTGAAGAAGACATTGCTAAGTGGTCGCGTCATGTCATAAACTGGCAGAAGTTGGAATTCAATGGCTGGTCATTGGATCGGGTTCCAGTGAGTGGCTTAATGGTCTACGAGCTCGCTAGGCTTGTAACCAGGAGGTTCTGGGTTCTGGCCCATGTGGTGGGTACGTACTGGTGAAGCGTCCCAAACTAGACTGACGAGAAAGCTGTCCAGTAGTTCCTGCAGGTTTTCAAGTGGTTCTCTAACTGATGTCAGATCATGATGAAATCCTATTCTGTTTGTTCATACATTTCGCCCCGGAATTTGAAGACGGTGGACGTCAGGCGTAACTGAATTCGTAAAATATACTCACATACTAATAGTAATCAATATGGCTTTGGAAGCAGTCTGGAACGAAATAACTGCTAATCACGAAATTACTTGTGATACAAAGCTGCCCATTGAAGAAGTTATTCCAGGAATGTCTGAAAAAAAATACTATATACGTATGCTAAGTGAAAATTTAAGCTGCTTTCCTTAATACAAACAGAGAATCTACTCATGTTGATCAGCAGGAAACATTGCTATCACTCAACATTTTTCAGTCTAAAAATCTCTTAAATATTCTCTACGTTTACCTACTTTCAGAGGTATTCACATCCATCTTCGTCTTGAAGTGTTATTTCATTCATTTCATTGCATTTCCTGATAACGCTGAAATTCAAAATCGAGTGGTTTGAACTGATTCGACTCTCTAGTCACAATCAAACTGAGTATACAGGTGATGAGCTTTGCTCCAATGGAGCGAAGCAGCCACTCAAGTGTTTATATCACCTCGATCTAGCTGACTAGCAAGTACTGCTGGTTGATGAGTGCGGTATACTACTACTCATCTCAGTCAATCAGTAGTATATAGTTTTCTGCGAAAATTCCCGCTTTCTTGATTGTCATTTATGGTATTAAGCAGATGACCTCCTGCGAACTGTACAATCTCAGTTTCCAAAGGAAACTGTATAACTTGCTAACTGATTTGCAAACTGAGAGTTTGAAATTCAAGAATTCCCTTGAAATGAGTTTTGAAGACACGATAATAGTTTGAATCTACTACACATACTACTAAGAGTAGTAAATTCAAGGCAGCTAGTTTAAATTGAATACATTTAAGGGACATTTAAGGGTTATTTATCACAGAGGAAGAAAACACATCACTGATGTGTTAGATACAAACAGTTTTCCCAACTACTAAAATTGTAAAGCTATAGAGATGTTTGGTGAAAGTACTGCTGACTTACAGATGTACTGAGGCTAACGCATACTGAGAGATATAAGGATGGTCAAGTGAGGTACAGGTGGGTGATCAGCCCATCATAAGAAGAAACTAACTTTTCGACCTTAATATAAGGTCTATAGGCAATAATTTGTTTTACTTAATGTTAAGTAAACCAACTAGATACTGAGCGGCGGTACATCCAACTGACTGACATGACTAACTAGAAAGCACTCACGTTAAGCAGCGGTGCTTGGCCGTTATAGAGAAGTGATTTTACCATTGGATGGTTGTTTCGCTTGTTTAGGCCCAGTTTATCAGGAATGTGTCCAGTGTGAATCAGATCAGAGAGCTGAATCACAGTTTAAACCACTCGAATTTAGGCTAGGTACTTTGTTAAACAGGTAATACATAAAAATGAATTGGCTACTTGCTAATTACACTACTCATATCAACCAGTAGTATTATACCATAATGTTCTTGTGGTATTAAACAGATCACATAATGAGATGAAAATGACCTACTGTAGTGAATGTTGTAAGGTTACTTTTGCATTTCTCCCTATTGTGGAATCTATAGTCTTAAAAAGACACATACGACTTATAGACATGTTGAAATATGAATCCTGTATGTATTGAAAAATAGAAATCAAGTGGATTTAAGGAAAAAAGGAGTAAACAGTGGGTGTCTTATGAGAACATGTTGTTCCCATCGACAATTTCTTACTCACATGGCCTATCCTTGAGTAGAGCAGCCTGTTCCGAATGAACACTTTTCAAAACATCTGTAGGGAAATGCAGAGAAAACACAAAATAATATCAAAAATCAATTCGAAATGATAAAATGATAAATTAATTTCACCGAATGATGAATAGATTTGACAGCTTTTGTTGTTGGATGTACAACTGGACAATTTAAACAAAATACGTCACACAGCATCTCTCATTGTGACTGAGTAAAGGATGGCTTAGATCTATGCCACACTCAGTTTTGTCCCATCTGGTGATTTACCTGATTCCCTCGAACCCCTCTATTGGCGCTCATAATATTCTGATTCTTTCACCTAAGGCTACTGTGCGTCGGTGGTATAGCCGTTAGGACGCTCGCCAACCATGCACGTGGTCCCGGGTTTGATCCCCTGCCGACGCACTCTTTTACCTCGCTGAGCCAGAAATAATCCTGGTAAATAGGAAAGGTCGGGCATGAGGCTAGCAACCCCATCCTGGAAAAATAAACACTGCTACAGAAACTTCAGGCCACTAGCTTGAAGCCGTGTGTTCCACTGGGGAACGTGAAGGAGAAAAACAAAAGGCTACTATCGTCGGTGGCACAGTGGTTAGGACTCTCGCCGACCATGCGCATGGTCCGGGGTTCGATCCCCTGCCGACGCACACCTGATATCTATGGTCGGCCTGCAAAATTTGGGCTACCGATATCCATGCTGAGAATTCCATACTTGTACCAAAAATACAATGTGGAATCAAGCTGTAAATCAAAAATAAAAATAAATAAAAATAAAAATAAGGTTATCTCAGAGTGTTTTCAGAGAGATTCGTACTGTCATCATTCATCCATTGGATAGAGAAGACATCTAAATTATATTTCCCCTTATATATAGATATATATGATTGCAGGAGCGTGCCTTATTCACCATCCATGTTAAAATTTATGTACAATAGCACAACACATTCTATATTTTTGGAGATGATATACATATTTATGCCTACATCTACATACTACTTATACGTCTTGTCAGTAGCACATCAGAAATGTATTGTTCTGAATTTGAATATGAGAATTTTTAGTATTTTTTCCGATTATTAGATGGCTGAGATCAGATGGCAGAAAATCTTGTCACTAATCAGCAAGGCTTATCTACAAAATCAATGAGGCTGGTATCTCCATGAGAATTTTAATCTGTATTCAGGTGTGTTACAACTGAATCAGTCAGGGCGTGAATGACCCTTTTGTTAACAAGACAAATAGACCAGTAATATGTTCTCGAACCCTTAGTGCTGACCAAAATCGTTATGTTGACTGCGTTCAGTAAATGTCTGTACGGAACAAAACAAATGATTCTAATACTTGAGAGGTGGGAATTATTTTGCATGAAGTTTGTATTTCAGACAGTTTATTGTGTACCAGTAGGTTGCTGATCCAGGACCACAATTTTCGTTTACCAATACCTGGACAATTCAAAGCTACGTAGCGTGTGCATAAAAATAAATTTACTCTTGTACAGCGTCTAAACACAGCTGAGAATTTCAGTAAAATTATACTGATAAATAAAGCATAGTTATTGTTATTATTGTCCTGAATTCCAACTGGAATGTGGGGATTTGACAGCATATCTCTATTTCATCCTGTTCTCTGCAATCTATTTTTAGCTGACAACACGATTGCCGATAAGTTCTCACATTTTCCTCACACTGTCTCCTCCATACCACCCTCAGACCTTCACCCAACTCTTAGTTTCTCACTCGGGTTCCACAGGAGGTACTGGCGCGTAACTTCGCTTAACGGTATCTTCAGTGTGCGCTCCTCCATCCATCTCTATTTCCTTAAGTGTAATTGCTGGGCAATAGGTTCTTGATTGGTTCACTGACTGACGGAGTTGCTTACTGTCAATCCCTTCTGATTATCTTACCTTCAGCTGGTGATAAAATTCTGCAGTAGTCTGTTGGAAACGTTTTTCGTGACGCTCAATAAAAGTTTCTCAACCTTGACATGCTTAACATTAGTGTTACAAACCCGAATCTTGTTCTTTATAGATATAAGTTCTTTATGTTCAATGAAGAAGATTTCTACGTTGATTTCAGATAAGTAGATGTCTATCTTGCTTTTATGATGCTGAAGATGGCTTTGCCATCACCATCCGTGTCTTCCACCTACAGATAAAACAGTACTGCCAAAATGAGGTGAGTGGAAGAGGTGACTTCCTTCAGAATTTTGCTGTCGGTAGTGTGAATGGAGTTAAACTGCAAACTTGGCTGATAGAACTCAGTCTACACAGAAGATAGGACTGGACACATTACACTAGTTACTGACTAGTGTCCAATCAACAATGTCCACTACAGTCCTACAGGAGGTCAATCGCGACCCCGAATGCTCAGTGGTAACATCTCTGACTGTATACTCACTGAGTAACGTGGGTTCGAATCTCAAAAGAGGCATGAGTTCCTTTGATGTTGCAGATACGCCTTGCTGACTGGTGAGTGCCAACCAGCACGAAACCTAAGTCCCAAGGCTTCCTGCCGATTGCCTTCAACCATCTAATATCCTCAAATCAGTATGCACCGTGCTGGCGAGCTAGCTAGAATGGTGGCCACATTGCAAGTCTGACTGATAGAATTCAGCCTGCACCAAAGAAGGACTAGACACATTACACTAGTTACTGAATGGGAAACGACGAGTGAGTCGTTGGTGCGAGAGTGAAATGAAGGAGATTGTTTTGGGGAGAAGGAGATGAGATATTATGGGCAATCGTGGTATCAGACAGCTGAAGAGGACAACAGAGAATAGAACAGAGTGGAGATGTGTTGTTGCAGCCCTATGTTTCACTCTGTACCCAAGGGAATAACAAAAGTAATTTAATATAAATATTGAAACATAGTTTTGTTACATCATTTCTGGGTTTCTTTTTGCTTTCTGAGAAGGAGAATACACTTCACCAACTTTTAGGCAAACATTATTCATTATGTACACAGTGCTGCTACTAACTCACCTGGATCTGAATTGTATTCATTTTTAATAGCCAATGGCTTCGATTCTGGTACTACTTGATTCCCATTTGAATAACTTTTCAAATCTATCTGTGAATGTAACAGAACAAAGATAATTAAGACATTTAATTAAAAGTTGCCTTAAAATTGAGTTAGATGAATAGGAGACAGTTCACAGGTAACACTGGGAAGATGAGTGGAATCTGAGGCATGCATATGACTGCTAATAGGATCAATGGGTTTATTCATATAATGATGCACGCACTGGTCGATTAGATAATTACATTCTAGATTTTATGAGAACCAAACAAACGTATTCAGTTCTTTAACAAGAACAGAATACCATAACATACCATCCTGTGACCATTCTCATCATTGATACTTATATTCATGCATAGGTAGGCATAGTTACTCTGGTCAATGATTGCGCTAATCGCCTATTCTGTTCATGGATAAGCTGAATTCGACTTATTCCGCCGCATACAACAAGACTAGTCGAATGGATTATTATCATCAGCAGAAGTAGCAAGCATAGCAACTCTGCAGTGAACAAGCTTGAGAATGAAGGCAGAACCCACTCAACTAAGTGAAATCGTTAACCCTGTCAACCAATTTAGCATAGGAATGGCTTCATAATTTTTTACCAAAATCATACACCATCATGTTGGTGAGCGATGTGGGGATGAGGCGAACTGGGCCTCACATAGCATTTGTAATGGATCATGAACGTGACAATGAGTTCCACTTCCTAGGTATCACCATACACAGAAGAAATGATGCAACGATTGAAAAATTCTTCCATAGGAAAGAAAATTGATCAATACTTAAGTCAACACAGCTTTTGCTTGATCGGCTCCAAACAGAGTCGAATAGAAACACTCTTCATCATGGGTGGGGTGTTATTTTCAGGAGATAAGATTGAAGAGAAACTCGCAGTTATCGAGAAGAAACTTATCGACAAATGGATATCCCTAAAATTTCACCTAGGCAAAAACCCGAAACAGTTGAAAAAAAAACCGATTTTCATCTATCTAGCGTACAAAGAGGAAGAAGTATCCACAAGAAACTAAAAAGGAATCGACATTGCATTAAAGGGAACATTCTCAGGTGTCTGACTGATTCCACTTTACAACAGAGAATGCTCGTTATCTCTATCAAAAACAGATAAGTAACCTGCTCATATCAAGTCCAACTTCATTTACCAATTTACCTACAGTTATGGCAGAAAGTACCAGACACCTAATTGACACGGGACATACAGTGGAAATTAGTCAGGATTTTAAAATAATCAATAGACAAAAAGAACCATGGTTACTTGGTTTTGTAGTAGCCATTGCCATCAAAAGTCTTCAACCCAATATATGCATACAGAAAGGTAGTGTGACTAATCTCCCACTACCTTGGTAACCATAATGTATGCTCTTGTGTTTTGTTCTGTTGCACAAAGTTCCACTCAAGCTTGATTTTGATTTACTGAGTTGAACTCACTATTAGGGTTCCAGATCTACATAACTTTTCTTATCTCTTTTATAATTTTACTTAACCATTCACCCCCACCCTCCTGAACTCTGTATTATAATATGTATAAATTTGCTTTGCTGTTCTATCTTGTATTTTGTCTCTAGTTCATCCTTGTTTCCAAGCGAAATATGAACTTTACCTCTCTCTCCCTTGTCTAACTATAATATAAATAGTTACCCTTTTAACACTGAATAATTCGTCTACTTACATCATTTTCTGGCATTATTTTGGATGTACTTTCTGTCTATAGCTCGACGTTACTGTGAAAAGTATGTTCATGTATTCTATAACTCATATTTTGATACTGTTTAGAATGAACGTAGTTGGACAGAATCCATGAAATAAAACGAGCTCGTATTATCCTGCAAATATGTTAGCTTTTTTTTGATTGATTAGAGGATTTCAACATGAGCTAACATCAGTTAGACAACCACGGGAAAAGAAACTGGAAGTACTGGAAAGCCGTTTCATCAGCCTAGTTTGGGACTGACCCTTCAGTAGTACGCACCCATCACAAGGGTTCGAACCCAGGACCTTCTGGTTACAAGGCTAGCGAGTTCGTAGACCATTAAGTCACTGGGACCCGAATCAATGACCAGCCCAAGAATTCTAACTTCTGCCAATTCATGACATAGAGCAACCACTTCGCAATGTCCTCTTAGGTGAGTTACTGCCTCACCTACAACCTGATGTACTCTCTAACGAATCAAACACAATCCCTACAAAACCAATGGTTGAGAATGTTCGTTCTTTCTTTATTCAAACTAATAAAGAGAATCAGCTGTGTAAAAGTGATGGTGATAATAATAATGTGTGCATGAATCGATTTATCAGTTGGATATTTGTGCCACCAGATGTATATATATGTATATACCCCCAGATGTGATATCGTGTAGCCTCACTGATAACAGTTGTACCGGCAATATTATTTTCTACTTGTTTAGCAGCCAAATAAGCTTTCAGACAGTATTAACATTCTGGAAATTACGCTACCTAGTACAGATAAAATTAGGTCAAACTGATTACACATTAAATTTTCAGTTTGTAACCTTGATTTATTATCAGTTCATCAGTAATATGTTATATAATTTCTGAGCCTTCATGTTTCTAACAGTCTGTTGTAATTGTGCCTGAAATCTCATTATATTGTAGTTGATTGTTATTCATTTGTTTTATACTGTAATTTTAATTGTTTTAAGGGCATCATTTCATAAATCATAGGTATATCATTTGGTCAATGAAGAGTAATCGGTGTTATTTTGTTTAAAATAGGCTCAGTTGTGAGTTGAATAAAGCACATGATAATATCTCAAAATGGTGCATTAGTTTCCACTGATTTAATTCTATTTTGAGTGAGGAGGAGTAAACAATTTTTTGTATTGCAACTGCACCTTACTACTAAGTAGCAGTAAAAATCAGACACAGGGAAAGTTAGGCTACACGCTAGTTCCTTCCAACCACTTAACATCAGGTTTAATCACCCGCTGACATCAGTTAGAGTGCCATTGGGAAACCAGGGAGTACTGAATAGCTGTTTCGTCCTAGCGCTTAAGACTCTTCAGCAGACGAACACCCACAGAGATTTGAACCCAGAATCTTTGGGTTACAAGGAGAGGTTAAAAGCCATTCAGGCAACGGGATCCTATCTAAAGGCGGCCCACTAACTCCGAATTCTCAGTTTTTGATTTTAATCTGATGCTTGCTAGCAAGTGGTTACAGGACGAAGATGAGTAGAGTTCTAGTGATAAGTCGTGACCAATAAAGTTAACCATGTCTGGTGGGATGACAGGCACTCGCCCATGACACTGGTTAGCAGCCACGTTAAACTCACGAATTGGTAGAACGGTCTCTTACAGGAAACAGTATGTAATCAGTGAAATTCAAATACAAACTTTAATCTCTCGAGTTCCTACGAAGAATCACTCACTTAGCATAACGAACAAGATCTAAATACTGAGCTAATATCACGTCGTTGCTTTTGTATTGTTAGCGAACTTACCGCGCTCATGATCAGAAGCATTTCCAACAGCCTACTGCAGATTCCATATTAGTTTATTTATTATACATATCAAACAGTGACCCAGTATTATCATTTAACAGATGACGTTTCGAACACAATTTATTGCGGTTCATAATCATTTCATCAGTTATAATCACACAACTTCAAAATTTGAGTTTTCTTTATTTTCTCCTATTTGTCGTAGAGGTAGTAGAATTTTGTGGATGTCCGGGTGGACAGATGCTGAATCATCCCTAGTACACATATTTGCAGTTGTTTCGATAAAGAAAGCTTCAGTTATCAATCTCTCCCTCAAAACTGTCATCTTATCCCATCCTATGTTATGGTTGTGTGCAATTTCATGTAGTGAGTGGTATAGCTGAACTATTCTTCAGATTTCTTATCTCGTTAAGGTCAGCTAATCTAGATTTCGTTAGGTTTTTATGCTCGACTAATCTGACTGTACCTACTCTACTACTCTAGTAATCATTGAGGGGTATTAGATAAACTAAATTGTTTTGTTTAATAGGCTGCTACACAGGATCCTTTAATCGACAAAGCTTGTTCCTAATTGAGTTTGTGGGTTTGAATACCAGCCACTTTTATTTTTGAGTTGTTAAGAATTCTGAGTAAGGTTTCCGAGGTTCCTTCCTTGTATGGAATTACTACTGATGATTTAGATTCCTTATTGTTGGTGTTGTCTTGCGTATGTTTGACGTACATTTCATCATTAATATTACCATAATAATAATTATTATTATCACTATCACTAATATCATTATTTATTTTATTTTTACATTTCCCTACATAATTTCTGATTAATTTATCAGGGTAATTATTAATTAAGTTTGAAAGCTTCTCTCATATGCCTCACTTACTGTCTTAGATTTTCCTTGGTACTACTTAGTTTTTGTGCTCTCTCACTTAAACATTTCACTAATCCTATTTTTACTGACATAGGATGGGATGATCGGAAATCGAAATATCGTTCTAAATGTGTGAGTTTTCTGTAAACACTAGTGTTTAACTTCCCATCTTCTTTCCTTTTTACGCTGCAATCTAACATGGAAGCTCCCCTTGTTGACTGACCAATCTATAATTGAATGAAATTGCCTCTATCTTCGAGTTGATAAATTGGATAAATCTGTTTATGTCCTGTGTTCTACGCACGGTAAATGTGTCGTCTACGTACCTTCAGCATACTTTTGGTGTGGAGCTGAACGTTTTAAACGCTAAGTTTTCCCACCTATCCATGAATATATCTGCTACATATGGAAAATCCTGCTACCCCTAAGAAAAATAGGAAAGAATAAAGAAGAGCCTTGGTGGGAACATCATCACTCACTGAGAAATGCAGGTATATCCAGCTGGCGAGTCCCAAATAGGACGAAATGCGCATCCTGGATTCCACTGCTAGCCACCATCCACCAATTGTATACTAACTAAATGCCCAGACATCGTCGAAGCATCTGCACAAGAAGACGACATGTCAACCTGAGACCGAGCACTTCGGTCCAATCAATCGACGGGAAAATCAAAAATTCAATTCAAGAATAAAGAAAACTATAAAACTCAGGTTTCGAAGTTGTGTGATTATAATTGATGAAATGATTATGAACCGCAATAAACTGTGTTCGAAACCTCGTCATCTGTCAAATGATAAAACTGTTTCACTGTGTAATATGTCAAATCAACAAATTATAGGGAATTACATACTAATGCAGTGCCCAAGTTTTACATATATATTAAGCCTACTGAAGACTTACATCAACAGATGTTCCTTTCGCTGGATTTATAATGAAAATGAGATGACCAGCTGGTTAGAAATGTTAACCAACAAGGCACTCTTCAGATATCCTACTATCCAGCTATTCGGATGGAAATTGGGATGGATGAGACATTCTCTGAGGAAACCATTGAGTGATATCATATACCCAGTTGGCCATCGAGAGAGGGAATATGAATGAGAGATAGGATTTCAAAAAGTGACGCTCTGAGCGAGATGTGAACTTCATTAAGCAGTAATACTATAACTCCATTATGGATAAGATTTTATTTTGATAAGTCACACAGTGTGGTACAGTAATATTAACTGATATCAGTTAATGCCCAAATTTTATACTTATATCAGTAATACTATAACTTCATTGAGAAACATAAACATTCAACTAGTCATGAGGTCAAGTAACACAGACAGACTCTAGGAACTTTATTACTGGGTATAATTAAGAAATAGCAAAGATCATTGGTCAATTTAAGGAGAATCACTTCTGGTACAGTTTAGTTTTTTAGTTAACTATTGTCATTATCTTTCATAGACCATTTCTACTGAGATTTCAAACATTTATAAAATCCTTTATTTACTACTGTTCAGTGTACGACTGTCATGGTCTATGAAGGTCAGACTTAACTGGTTGTTATGAAGTGAATTTGTAACAGAATGTTCCAGTTTGCCGTGTTGTAATTTACTCGCTAAAAGTCGACTCTATAAAGGAGGACTTTTCAGACTACTTATGTCTAAAGTCACACAAACTCATCGATCTAAAAACGAAAACTAACAAGTTGGCAGAAGAGGTACACAAAGAAGACAGAACTTGAAGTGAACATAGAGAAGAGAGAGGTGATGGGAATATCCAACGACTAACAGCAACAAGCACCAATCAAAAACAGCGGAGGAAATTTGGAGGTCATTTACTTAGGCAACATCGTTTCAACTGCAAACGGCGGCATGGATGAGGACTTCAAAGATAGGATTGGAGAAGCAAGACAGACATCCATTATCCCTAAAAATCAATGTGAAAATGTACCGTGATCAGCATAAAGAACAATATATGAAATTTCAGCGCTATATAGTCTGGAGACTCGACGCGTCATGAAAGGCATTTCCAATAATCTGCTGCAGACTGTCCTAGACAACTGCCTTCGCTCCAAAGTTAAGATCAGATGGGGCTGCTCAGAAATGAGTAGCAACAAGGAACTCTGGGAACGAACCAAAAAAAAGGCCATTATCAAAGAAATATGCCTAAGAAAATGGAGGTAGATCGAACATACGGTGGGGAAGCCACTGAGTGACATCATGCACCAGGCAGCTCTTCGAGTAAAAACCGAATGGGAAAAGAGAAGTTAGACCTCTAAAGATGACATGGAGGAAATCATGTGCAGTTGTGGAGCCAGTTAAAGAGAAGAGAGTTAAATGAAGGTTCAAAAGAAAGATAATAAACAGAAGTGTGACGGAAAAAGAATACTAATATGGAAGAAGAATAATAGAGTTTTATTGGATATGACAAATCTCAAAGAGTGAACACACATCTGTGCTATTGACAAGGATGACTATGAGCCATGTCACCACCAGGTGTCTCCAGCTATTGGTTCCTACCATCCCGAGGTCTTCAACTAGGATGTCTACATGTCTTGACATGGCTTAAAGTAACTGTTATGGATTTCATTGACTGGAGCGTTATGAGAAGCATTTCCAACATGCTAGTGAAGACTTTTGTCTACAGCTACCTTCACTAGATACTGAAATTCAGACGGCCGACCAGAAAGGATTAGTAACAGGGAACTCTGGACCAACGAATCAACCAAGAACCTGTCGCCCAATAAATACGCTGAAGGAAATGGAGATGGATTAAACGAAAGCTGACGATACTGTTGAGTGACATCATACGCTAATTGGAACCCGGATGGGAGACAACTACGTGGGTCATCTAGTGTGACAGAGAAGGGATCATGTGAGGAAATGAAAGCTTATGGATAATCTTGGAGTCACGCCTAAAGATGAATACAGAGAACAGGATGAAGCAGAGATATGCTGTTGAAGCCTTACTTATGTTCCACTCGGAACCCAAAGGAATGGCAATAAACAATTAGAGAAAACCAACCATAAACGCCGCACTCATGGATAGTTTTAAAGCAAAGACAGGTGAAGGTGAATCGTATTCCTGTTTCTTTAGGATTCAGACTGATCTTTCAGCCGATTAAACTGTAAGAAATTCTGGCAGGCGAGAATGGAAAAGAAATCTGTCATTATACATTTCATCAACAAATCTACTCAGTGTTCTTGTATGGTTGGTTAATGACGTCATAAAACACTCATAAGTTCTGTACAATACACGTTTGCGGTAGTTATTTCAGTGACATTATCGAAACATCGATACTTCAAATAGTACTGATGATCTGCAAGGTCGAAATGAACTTGAAACATTTAGAATTAATGGCCTTCTTCAGACTCAGTCGGTGGTATTTATTAAATAAGGAAAAAATAAAGTTTTAAAGTAACCAATATTTGACTAGCACAAAAAGCCACATTCACCTCAAATTTTGTACTTTCTAAGCCAGCATGTGTACAAGACCATAAACCCGTAAGCCGTTTGTCACTTCGATCCACTTTCAAATTTATTACAATAGTCCCATTGGGATATTCTATTTTTTGACAAAATACTGTTTGATCGTGTGGTACACACCCGAAATTTCTTTGTGATGAATGTAAGCATGGATTGGTTGGTTGACATCCTTGATAACAATTGCCGAGTAATTTATTGTCACCTAAAGCAGGACATGTCAGGTAAACTTCAGCATTCGGTTTTGGTCGATTTACACGACACATAATATGTGTAAAATTTTGACCATGATTTGCCTTCAACTCTGGTTTAAATTCTATTCGATAAGCATCCAGTTCATACAGTGATCGTCGATGCAGTTGTCTACTGAATCTGTTGCCACTTAACTCCAAACCTTGTGTACCTAAATGGTGAAAGAAAAGATACAAGTAAAAAATCTCAGTAAAAATTGAAAAATAATCTGAGTTGTAATGAAGATTTTGAGAAACAAGATCAATTTTAATTAAGGCTGTTAGTGTTTCTTAGGAAACAGGCATAAATAACTTAGGCAACTGTAAACTTTTCAAGCTATGTCGCTCAGTGTTTTCATTATTCTGGGATTTAAAGGCAGTCAGGCTTCAGACGTTCCTTGTTCTAAGTCAGTAGTACATTTTTCACGACTAACCTCCATTCACACTGCTACCTAAGATTGATATTCTCAAGCCGTCCATCGTTCTTCAACAGCTCCAAAGATAAACTATCTCACTTGACCACTTCTGTGCAAATCTACCATTTTACTTGCTCATGTAGAGCTAGCGAGATATATAGGTCGTTTGATGCGTGTTTTATCCAAAAGGGTCAAAGAACATTATTCTGCTTGGCTATGGAAAGGTAACAGTGGATCAATAAAGAGTACTATAATTGAACATACAGCCAACACTGGTCACTCAGTATGCAGTGGGAGTTCATTCAAAGTCGTCTACGAATTCAAAAGAAGCCTCCTGAAAACGGTAAGCTTCCGTATACCTTTGCATTGTTGAGACGTTAACGATCGGGAGAGAAAACCCTGATTTATGCGCACAGAAGAAATATCTCCACCCACTCCTTCTACCTTGCATATGATTCCAAGTCCTACGACTTTGCTGATAATGTTTCGTTTCCTTTTTTGTTTTATATATTTTTGAATTTACGTGCACTTGCGGGAGCAAGTACATTGGAAGGATGGAAAGAAGACCTTCTATCCGGTTTTCTTAACATATTCCAAGAAACTTGCGTCTGAAAGGAGGCAAATAGTCTCAGAGTGCAATTACCAGACATATTGTTGATACTGGACATCTCGTAGAGATTTCTAAGTCCTTCAAAATATTAAATAGACAAAGGACAGGAATTTACTACGATTTGCCAAAGTGATCGCAATCAAACGATTTAAACCAGATTTATGCATACAAAAAAGAGAGTGTGATTAACCTCTCACTGCCTTGGTAGCTGAATTTTGATTTCCATTACATTAGTCAGTCATCTAATTCAGTGATCTCAACTCACTGAACAAATCTTAATCTCATAAACTGTAACCGCTTTCGTTCTTTAAGTTGCTATGTGAACCTAGCAGCAAACACTGTTCTGTTAATTAATTTTTTCTATTTTCTGTCTTACCCCTCTTTTCAACTTTGAAAGAGTATAAGTTGATGATGAAAACTTAAACTAAAAATTGTAATGCTTTTATTTTGGATGTGTCACTTTTATAGTATCTCTTCTGTACCACCACTCAAATGTTAAAGTATGTTATTATCATCTATATAACCATTGTAATTTCAGGTAGGGATGTGCAGATGATGAGAACTTGTGAAATAGAATGATATCATTTTATACTTCAAATTTCGTCTTCCTTTCTTTATCAGAATTTATCAAGGGAATCAAATGTATGAAGTTATATATTTGTGTATGACATCTTATTAACATCTTAACCAACACTTTATTTACTCTTTTTACCTATTACGCAATCTATTTGGGACACATGTCTCTATTAACATCCTATTTCATAATACGCAACCCTTGTCAATACATATCAAGCTCCACCTCCTTAGTTACAATTTTGATTATTCCTTACATTTTAGAAACATTTCGATGACGTAAACAGTAACCCCAACCGATTTTTGAGCTGCCTAGTCAGGCACCACTCCACTTGCTCTTGTGAAGGAAGGTACATAGGCCTTGGTCAGAGAATTTCTCAGAGGATCGAGGGCACATTTCAGCATAGTTTTACAAGAGAGGAAGGAAGACTGACAAAATATCTGCTCGTAGGGTATCTGAATGACTTCTGTCACTCAACCAACCCTGATACTGATTTTGAGATTATTTCTGGAATTCATGCTATTTCAGGGCCTCACATTCTTCGTTTCTAACTTCTAGAAACACTGATGGCTTTGGCTATCATGAATTTAAGTGAGACCTTTTCAAACAGAAGTATGTACAGTCCCTATTTTCACCGTGTTTGTAGAACAGGAAGGAGGGATAAGACACTTAATACATTTTTCGTTTTGTTTATTTCGTTTGTGTATGTTTCCCTCATTATTACGATTTTTATTGTTTCTGCTTTCATCTTGAACAGGTTCCGGTACTGTTTCTAGTGTCCTATTTGTTATTTTAATTCAGTATATTTGTCACAGTGTTAAAGTGTGTTCCATCAAACTTCTTACCATGTTACATAATGTTTTATCTGCCTACTAATTCTACAAGTTCTGTTGATTTTGCAGCCCTACTCAAGATCTATTCATTCTGTGGACTAGTTCATGGATTAAACTTATAACCAGTCATATCTCTGGAAACCAGCACTTGACATCTAATCTGATGTTTGCTAGCCACTGGCTGTATACAGAAAGTAACTTGGAGTTCCAGTAAGTAGTCATAACCAACGGGGTTTACCAAGTCAGGTAAGATAAAATTGTAACTCGCTTATAACATTGACTAGCGGTTGCGTTGTATATGCATATCGGAGACTCGTAGAATTTGGGGTTCATAAACCATTGAATCTTGTCCCAGCCGTTGAATAATCTATGAACTCACCTTGTAAATGACAGGTCCTGGGTTCGAATCCCAGAGGGTGGGTACTGGTGAAGAGCCCTGAATTGGGGTAGAATTGCTGCCCAGTAGTTCTACAACTGATTTCAGCTCTTGATCAAACTTGAAACAAATCAAATCCCTTAAAACTAACTTTTCATAAGAAAAAGGCACAAACAGCGAAGAAAATTTTCTTTTCAACGATTCATTTTCTTAAGCCGTACACTCGTAATTATACTCTACAAAGAAATGATCAGACCAATCAGATATGGGTAAAATTTGTCCTCGAAAAACGTATTACGTTATGTTACATGTAGTCTAGAAGGGGTGACTAAATGGAAATTAGAAGTGAAGCAGAAGTCGGCAGGACGTAATAAGTGTGAGAAAATGACTGATCAATATAACTGTGTAAAATGGACAAGAACTTTTTGGGAAGACGATAAATTGTTTCTTATAGGATCTGTATGAAAACGCAATGTTATTTATAAACAGTAGTAGAGTGATAATAAAATAAGGATGATGGGTATAATAATAATAATAAACTTACATAATAGAAGGAAGCAAAATTAGAGTGAGAACGTTATTCTAGTCACTGTAGGGCGAGTGAATGTATGTAATACATTTGAATACAGAAGTCCGGTTTAAAATCCCGAATAGCCAATAATTCAGTTATGCACAGATGGCGTATGCCAAATCCCTTTGTACGATATTGAGGGAGTAGTTCCTGTCCATTCTACACAATCATATTGATTAGTCATTTTCTTACAGTTGCCAGTTTCTGTCTGTTTTCAAACTCCCAATTACTCACTCCATCTACGTTACATTTTACATTACGTACCAAGTTTTTCGAGGACAAATTTCACCAGTATCTGATTGGTCTTATGATTTCTTTGTTGAATGAATATAATTACGATTGTGCAGTTTACGAAAATGAATTGTCGAAAAGAAAATTTTATTAGCTGTTTAAGTCTTTTTCTTATGACACAATATGGGAATATTTCATTCAGTTAACTTTTCGTTTGCACCTTATCTTGAGTGATGGGTTTGACTTCAGAATGGTGTGATTTAATGTGTATGGCAAGTAACCCAATGTATTACCACAGCTTTATACACAGAAATGTAATATGAAACAACATGCATGGAGTAAGAATAGAACTTTAACATTATTATAGTGTATAATATTTGGATCAAAGATAGGACTTCAGGTGAACATAGAGAAAACAGGGGTGATGAAGATTCCTGGCCAACACAAACAGCAACAACAACAACAGACAGCTATCAGCCTGCATAAATGGGAGGAACCTGAAAGAAACAACCTCCTTTACCTACCTGCCTACCTACCTACCTGGGAAGAATCGTTTCAACCACAGTTGGAACTGATGAGGATACCAAAGCAAGGATCGGAAAGCAAGACAAGCTTTCATTACTCTCAAGTCTGTGTGCTGATTAACAGCACTCAGCATGAAAATGAAAATAAGATCCGGATTTTCAACTCCAATGTGAAGTCAGTCAGTGCTACTATACGGATCAGAGATTTGGCGTGTCATAAAGAGCATCTCAAAAAACTACAGACCTTCATCAACAGCCATCTTCTCTCAATACTCAAGATCAGATGGCCGGCCAGAAAAGATCAGCAAGAGGGATCTCTGGGAGCCAACCAATCCAGCAGGAACCGATTGTGAAACAAATAAGCAGGAAGAAATGGAGGTGGATTGGCTGGTCATACTCTGAGGAAACCATCAAATGACATCACTAGACGAACCAGTGCTCTAGTGGAACCCGAAAGGGGAGCGGCGAGTTGGTCTTCAGTGCGAGGGTGACTTGGAGGAGGTCATGTGAAGAGGAGATGAAAGCATGAGGGCAGACTTGTAGCCACGTGAAAACCTTAGCAGAGAACCGAACGCAATGAAGACGGGCAGCTGAAGCCCTATGTTCCTCTAGGAATTAAAGGATACAATAATATATATATATATATATTGTCCTTTTATTATTCATTCGTTTTTGTGTATACAGAATTATATTCCAGGTTGCTGACAGTTGTGCTGAGTCCTATTTAGGGACTTTTCAGTAGTACGCACCCACGACCCTAAAAAGGATAGAGCCCTGGACTTTCAAGTTAAGAGGTCAAACTGGTTGGCAGTTCAGCCAATTGAGCTAGAATACAATGACCCCTGAATTCTAACTCTGTCAACCCATGATGTAGTTCTACTCTCAGCAATGCCCTCGGTGAGAATACACTTCACCTTGACATGACAAAGCTTTAGTGGTCGCCAGTTCCTATTGCAGCTTCAGGAAATTTACCCAGTAGCTAGAATTCACGGGCCACTGAATTCCAGACCAAATGCCTGAATGGTAAAAGAGCTTCGT